GAAGGCAGAAGTTTGTTACAGGTGTCCAATTCAGGGATAAGCACTCTGCACTCTTATTTTCTGCACATTGGCCAGTTGTGAATTTCTGTGTTAATTACCATCTGCTGTATAAGGAAGATTTTTCTTCTGAGAGTTGAGAGAGCCATTCATTTACGGGTATAACAATAAGTCATTAGTATTAATTTTAATTCTATATATATTTAGCAGAATAATAGTATTTGGCTCTCCCCTATGGACTGTGGACTTTCTAGCCACATGTTCAGGTATCATTGTCAGGTATGGGCTCTACCTTATGAAGTCGGCAGTCCAATTAGAGAGTGGTTGGTTACTCCCATAATATTCATACCACTATTGTGTCAGAGATCATGCCTCTTATGTCTATGCCATGTTAGTTGTTGAAGCACACAGGATTCAAAGCTGGGTAAGGTTCATCGTCATTTTGTTTCTTCTGGTAGCATGTATAGCACCTTCCAGCTCTGTGAAAGATAGCTAGTAGAGATGAAGCCTTGAAACCAGTAACAGCTTGATTTATCCTTGTTTTTTTTTTTTTTTTTTTTACTGTGGTTCATGTATGTAGTATTTTCAGCAATAGACTCTTACTGTAAGTTTCTGGTGGGTAACCAAAAGTAGGGTCAGTATCCAGTCATGTTTCAGGGTCTATGGGACCCCTAGTCAACATATACAAATGAGAGTCCATTCCAGGCATTGAGCTTTTACTTTGCTGCCCTAATGTGTCTAGTAGGGGTAATGCCTTACCCCCTTTTATATGGTAACTCTTTTTGTATCCTATTATAATGTATATGTATATTGTTTAAGAAGCCTCTATAGGATTGCCTTCATTATGTCCCATAGATTTTGGTATGCTGTCCTTTCATTTTCATTCAATTGTAGGAATTTTTAAATTTCTCTCTTCGTTTATCCCTTGATTTAATTTTCATTCAGCAGTGTGTTGTCTAGTTTTCATGTATACTTTTTCTCACTTTTATTTTTGTTGATAATTAGCATTATTCCTTTGTGGTCAGAGTATAATACAGGGTGTAATTGCAATTTTCCTAACTTTGTGGAGATTTGCTTTGTGTCGTAATATGTGGTTGATTTCAAATAAAGTTCCATGGGCTGCTGAGAAAAAAGTGTATTCTTTGGTGTTTGGCTGGAATGTTCTGTAGATTCTGTTAGGTCCATTTAATTTATAATGCTAATTAACTCCAGGGTTTCTCTATTTACTTTTTGTCTAGCTGACCTGACTATTGGTGACAGTGGGGTATTGAAGTTATCCACTATTACTGTGTTACAGTCAATGTATGATTTTTAGATCTAATAGAGTTTCTTTTATGAAATTGGGTGCCCCTATGTGTGGTTCATATATGGTTGAGATAGTAACATCTTCTTGGGTGAATTTTTCCTTTAATATGTATAAATTGATCATTCTTATCTCTTACTAGTTTTGGTTTGAAATGTATTTTTTAAGATATTAGAATAGCTATACCCGCTTCCTTCTCAGTTCCATTTTCTTGGAATATCTTTTTCCATCCTTTTATCCTAAGGTGGTGGTGATCATTGATGGTGAGGTATGTTTCTTGGAAGCAACAAATCAATAGATCCATTTTATAATTCAGTTAGTTTTGCCTTCTTAGTGTGGATTTGAGGCCATTATTATTGAGGGTTGTTAGTTACCAATGTTTTTTTAATTCCTGTTATATTGGTGTAGTAGTGTTGTTTTCTTAGACCTTTTTTGGTTAACTGTTCTGAGATATTTTATTTCTTCTTTGTGCCCTCTTGAGAGTGTTTAATGTCTTCAGAATCAAATATTCCATCAAGTATTCTCTGTGGAGCTTGTTTTGTGGACATATACTCCTTAAATTATTTTTTCATGGGAAGTTTTTCTTTCTCCTTTAATTATAGCTGATAGTTTTGCTGGGTATAGCAATCTGAGCTGGAATCTATGCTTTCATGACTTGTAGGACATGGGTCCAAGACTTTCAGGCTTTCATAGTCTCCATTGAAAAGTTAGTTGTTATTCTGATGGGCCTGTCTTTATATGTGACTTGATCTTTCTCTCTCACAGCTTTTGATGTCTTTCTGTACACTTAGTGTTTTGACTATTACATGACATGGGGAGTGTTTTTCTCTATACTTGGGTGTTCTGTCTGCTTCTTGTATTGTGACAGGTGTTTTTTCCCCTAGATTTAGGAAGTTTTCTTCCATGATTTTATTAAAAATATTTTCAGTGCTTTTGACCTGGGTTTATGCTTTTTCTTCTATACCTATGATTCATAGGTTGTGTCTTTTTACAATGTTCCAGAGGTCTTGCATATTCCATTCCTGGGTTATTTTAGATTTGACATTTTCTTTGATTGAGCAATCCATTTCCCCAAGCTTGTCTTGAAGATCTAATACTCTGTTCTATTTCCTCCACTTCCTTTCTCTAAAATTTTTGTTTGGATTCTCAAATTTTTCATTTTAAGCTTTATTTCACTTTGGTTTTTCTTCAGAGATTGTATCTCTTTATTGATTCTAATTTAATGTTTTGAATTGTTTTATTTATTTCATTCAATTGTTTTTGTTTTCAGGGCCTTCATTTGTTTAGTTTTTTATTAAACTCCTCTTTGATTTCCTTCAACATATTTATAATTGCTATTTTGAAATCATTTTCTTGTGCATCCCCTGGGTTGCTGTTCTCAGGAAGCATTATGGTGAGAGTGCTAATTTCTAGAGAAGACATATTATCTTGGTTCTTCATGTTGTTTGTGTTTTTGCAATGAGACATCTGCATCTGGACATGTGTGGTTGTGTTTCTTGTTATGGGTTGGCGATATTGTCTTTGCTGAATGTTTGTATATTTGCTTGCTATTTCCCCAACTTGTCAGGTTATGTCTCAGCTGAGTAGTGGTTGGCGCTCAGTTTTGTGGCCACTTTATTTTGACATGCAAATGAAATATAGGAAGTGGTCTCAGTTAAACTAGAAGTAGGTGCAACTTTTGATTTGAGGATTCAGGATTGACTCTATGTCATCCTGGATCAGTATGGTGTTCTGGGTGGCTACTAGGTGAACAGGTTTGCTGATATAGTAGGCTGGAGGAGCTCATGGGCCTGGGGCACATAAAGGTATTATTTCCTGAGCATGCCCAAGAGCTGAGATCATGAAGGGAACTCATCATAGCAAGTCTTGGGGAAGGTGCTGCTCTAGGGTGGTCAAAGAACCCATTGACCCAAGGAGACCTGAGAGCCGAGATGGCAGGCTCTCAGGAAGTCTCAGGAATGGGAGTGTGAAACCGAAAGTCAGGGGCAGGAAAGGAGCCCAAGCAGTCCTGAGAGCTGAGAAGGTAGAGGGATCTCATTATAGTAAGTCTATGAGTATATTTAGATCTGCGATGGGCAAAGATTTTAGTGACCAAAGGAAGCTTGAGAGCTGAGATGAATACAATGCTTTTTAAACTATGTGAAGTGAAAGAAAATATTAATCAGAGGAACTTTGTTAGCATTGATCATAGAAGGTTCGTCTTCTTTATGACCCCCATACAACTATTTTTTTAAAGAACAGTGTCTTAAACTTCTTTAATAGACAAACTATACGAGCACAAGAATAAAAAACAAATCAAAGCAATAAACAAAGCCCCTAGATGAACATCTGTATTGTATTGGAGCTAGTTATTACCAGTTCTTCATAATTGTATTGCTCACATTATTGGGTTGGGAAGGAGCTATATTTTTAAACTAACATTAATTGCTTAAATTATAAATTATTAATTTATGTTAGAGACAAGAGAAGATATTCTACCATTTATGAGATCATAGCTGCTTTTAAAACATTTGCCTACCATAAGAATGAGAAACCTTCTGGCTAATAAATCCAGGTGATCTATAAACAAATTTTGTTGACTTGGATTATATAGGAAGTCAAAAATACTTAAAATTATTGTCTAACAGTCTGGGGGAAGAGCAATTCTTTATTTTAACCCCAGACTCCTGATCTTTAGGATCTCCATCAATCACCCAAGTCAAGAAGTATTTATTATACTATTTCCATGGAAATGTAAAGCTTTCATGTAATTTATAATTAAAGATTCTCTTGAGACTACATATAAGAAGAGGTACTCAGCAGGAGATGGTGGCTCAACCAAAGAAGGGTGTTGGGATCATTCAGGGACCCTGCTTTGTCTGAGGGTTCCCTTCCATTTGGGGTACTGCCTCACCACCTCTCTAATATGCTTCTTGCTGCCACTAAATGAACTGGTGTTGAGAGGTGTTCCTGCCTTTGTTTATTCCAATGTTTTTATTGGTCTTGAGCCTCTCTGAGCAAGGTGGTAGGGAAGTACATGGCAGGGATCTCATTTATGTGTTTTGTGACAGGCATCACTGGGTAGAAAATTGATCTTTCTCATACATTCATGTTTTACAGTCGAGGACCATGGGGACAATGCTGTTTTGTATTCTCTGGGACATAGTTCTCTCTGGATGGCAGTTGGACTAGAGAGAACAGTGGGCTAGGAGTCATATTAGGATGCTACAGTTTTTTCTGAGAGACGTGGTGATTCAGAAGCTCCTTATTTCCTTACAAGAAGCATGATTTTAATGTTCAAGAAAGAAAGTGACTTTTGAGGGGGCAGAAGATTACTGTCATCTTGAGAGACCATAGGTGCCCCTGTAGCATCTGAGGAAATGCAAAGAAGCTAGTGAGGGAAAGAAGGAACTCAAAGTCAGTGAACGTGAAGAGTGCTTGGGGGAAGTATAATGAAGAGCATTATTGGTGTTGGATACCCATTTCCCAGCTCCCACCTTGGTTATTTTTAAACTCCAGAATTTGCTAAATTGAGTGGAATCTTATATCAGCTTCCTTTTGTGGATGGAGACTGCCAGATGCTCCAATATGGGAGTATGGACAGGCAGCCCAGGTGGGGGACTGAAAACCTACATTCTTGCTATTTACATGAACTTTCTTCTCTCTTTCTCCACTCCCTTTGTATCTGGTCTCTCTTCCTTCAACTCTTCTTCTTTCCCAGGTGTGTTTGATAACTGTTCCCACACAATCAATGACAAAGGCTGGGCCTTGGGGATCCGCTCAGGGAAGGAAAAGGGAAGAAGAGATGCTCGCTTTTTCTTCTCCCTCCGTACTGACCGTGTGAAGAAAGCCACCATTGTGACTGGTCATAGCCGCTACCAGCCAGGCACATGGACTCATGTGACAGCCACTTATGATGGACAGAACATTGCTCTGTATGTGGATGGCACTCGGGTAGCTAGTAGTTCTGATCAGTCTGGACCCCTGAACAGCCCTTTCATGGCATCTTGCCGCTCTCTGCTCCTGGGAGGGGACAGCTCCGAGGATGGGCACTATTTTCGTGGATACCTGGGCACGTTGGTCATCTGGTCGACTGCTCTCCCCCAATCCCACCTCCAGCACAGTCCCCAGCATCCAGGTGGAGCAGAGGAGCTGAACACCCTGATCCTGACAGCCACTTTTGACCCTCTGACCGAACAGTGGACCCCTTTTAGAGATGAGACTTATCCCCGGCTAGAGGTTCTGCATGACTCGGAGTCACAACCCGAGATTCTGTCACCTCTGCAGCCTCCACCTTGTGGGCAAACAGCTTGTGACAATGTAGAACTGATCTCCCAGTACAACAGACATGGGCCCCTTCGGGGAGAGAAAGTGATCCGCTACCAAGTGGTGAACATCTGTGATGATGCAGGTCTACATCCCATTGTGAGTGAGGAGCAGATCCGCAGGCAGCATGAGGCACTGAACCAAGCTTTCAGCCGCTACAACATCAGCTGGCAACTGAGTGTCCATCTGGTCCACAACTCCACCCTGCGCCATCGGGTTGTGCTTGTGAACTGTGAGCCCAGCAAGATTGGCAATGATCACTGTGATCCCGAGTGTGAACACCCACTCACTGGCTACGATGGGGGTGACTGCCGCCTGCAGGGCCGCTGTTACTCCTGGAATCGCAGGGACGGGATTTGTCACGTGGAGTGCAATAACATGCTGAACGATTTTGATGATGGAGACTGCTGTGATCCTGAAGTGACTGATGTGCGCAAGACCTGCTTTGACCCCGACTCACCCAAGAGGTAAGGGTCTGAGGTCTGGGATGTCCTGTTTTCAGGGTGCAATTCTAAAACTGTTTTATTCTTTTTTGACTCCTGGAGACAAAAAAAGGTTCACACAGTCCCCAAATAAAACCTTTCCCACATCAGACTTAACTGGTCTTTTAGGAATTACTAGGTGTGTGAGGTAATTAAGGATATTGAAATGCTTAACATAAGACTCAGTAATCACAGAGTTCAGGGTCTGTGAAGCAGACCTTATGTAGGGCACCTTAAGTCACTTGTAGAGAATCCAAGGCACAGGAAAGCCCAAGACTTCTACCAAGGAATCCCCAAGAAGAAGCACAGTGAACAGTGATAGAGGCCAGCCATAACAATCAAGTGTGAAAATCCTTCCTGTTGACTGTTCTCACTAAGGTAATGCAGATTCATGCAAAGGACTGACTGTCCCAAGTTTTTGGTGCTCATAGAACAGGTCAATGGTTTCCTGGACACAAATCATTCTACACTAGTCTCTCTTTAGTGACTAGAGTCCTTCAGGATTCCCCTAGTAAGTTTCATTCTCCACATGGCATCCAGAAGGAATTTTGAAAAAGGCAGGTCAGATAATTCCTTTCTTAACTTCATCAGAACTCACTGGGTCCCAGGATCTACTGCAGTCTGGCCACTGCCCACCTCTCTAGCTTCTTCCTCAACTGCTGTCCCTACCCACCCTGCAAAGTCCCTGACTCTGCTTTGTTCAGCTGAACATATTAAACTTGTTACTCTTCCCACCCCACTGCTGCCCTGCACCAGGGTTTTACACTGGCTATTCCTGGAATCTTCTTTTCCTTGGTTTCCCCTTCTCATCATTGATGTATTCAATGGAGTGTTATCACATGGTGAAATTTTTTTCTGATCCTCCAACCTAAAACAGCTACTCAATCATATTTACATCAGCTAATCTCCTTTTCAATTTGATTTACTTTTATTTTATGTGTTTGAGTGTATTGTCTACATGTGTGTAAGTGCACACGTGTCGTGCAGTGCCCACAGAGGACAGAAGACGGCATTGGATCCCCTGGAACTGGAGTTATGGATAATTATTAGCTGCCATGTGGGTGCTGGGATTGAAACCTGGGTCTTCGGTAAGAACAGCCAGTGCCATTAACTAACCAGCCTTCTCTCCAGCCCCCACATCAACTAATCTTCATCACCTGTGCAGCACTTCGTATTGTTCTTATGCATCTGTGTGCTTTTCTGTCTTGCCCTATTTAGAATATCAGTTCCATGAGATTGGGGCCTCATCAGGAATAATAACTACTATTATTCTTGTGTATTCCTAGGGCCTTGAACAGTGGTTGACATAGTTATTTATCTTACGTTTATTTTGATGAATGAACCCATAGCTGTGTCTTCTGTTCTGAGACAGAATCAATAAGAAACATCTCATTTGGTATCTGCCTCAGGGGTCAGGGGAGAGAGAGAGAGAGAGAGAGAGAGAGAGAGAGAGAGAGAGAGATAAAGAAGGACAGGGGCAGTAAGCATCTCAATCTGTATACGACAACACAGGGTCCCTAGTACAACCAGTTTCTTTGCTCAAACGATGAAAAGTGAAGCAAGTCACCTGAGCTAAAGTATAGGGTGGATGGGAAGTGGAGAGACTGGATCCCACCCAACTCAGCTCCCACCCAACACCTGTATGGTGTCTTTTTGTTGGACACAGTTTATAAGTAGTTCATGACATTCCTGGGCAGACTTCTTGGTGTCTGCTAACCCTATCAGCCTGGTCTGTAGTTCAGGTACATGGTACTGAGGACTGAGTTTCAGATTCAGAGTCGGGAAACACAGCTGAATTCTGAAGCCTTTGCTTCTAGGTATACAAGTTATATACATCTTGCTTAAAAAATGAGGGTGATTACTTTAATACTTTAATTATCTATGTCCTAGTGTTGTTTTGTGAGTCAAATGAAACAGGGTATAGGAAAATGTTTGGTAACTCTAAAGTTTTCAACGTACACAAGTAGCACCAACCTAATGTTAGTGCCATTATTATTAAATTTATAAACAAATGGGCAGCCTTTGTTTATACAGTAACATGCAGGGAACTGACTATATTGCCAGAATATTTGCATATGAAAATTCCATTTGGATTTGAATTTTAGACTGTGATAACCTTAAACAGAGGCTAGACCTCACTAATAGTAGTGTTTGGCAATGCTTAGGATTCTTTGAAGAGAAGTCTTTCTTGGTCCCTTAGGTTTTTGCAACAATTTACTGCCCTAAAGAGGGAGGGGCCACCTAAATTTGGACTGTGGGAGGGCCCTAAAGAGGGAGGGCCACCTAAATTTGGACTGTGGGTCTCTGATGGATAAAGCATAGATCATGGTAGGAGTATAGCAGAGCAAACTGCTTACTCCATGCTCTAGGGAGTAAGAGAAAAGGAAGATACCAGGATCCCATAATCTACTCTGACGGTATATCCTTGCGGACTCAAGAACTGTCTACTAGACTTGAATATCTAAATATTCTATCACTTCCCAATAGCATTACTCTGGGGAATCAATCATTTAACATATGGACTGTTGGGAGAGCGTTAGTCAGACTTTTGTTGCTAACAGATCCCTGAGGGATTTGATTTGAAGTAGGAAATGTTTAACTTATACTTTTAGAAGTTTTAGTTCATGGTCATTTGGTTCTGTGTTTTTGGATCTGTGGTGAGATAATACATCATGATCATTAAAAACTATATACTTTATGACAGCCAGGAAGTAGAGAGAAACTGAGAGGTGTTAAGGGATATATCCTTTAAAAGCATGTTCCCATGACCCACCTCCTTCAAGTAGCCCCAATTTCTATGTCTCTGCCACCTCCCAATAGTGACAGCAAACTTTGATTCCATCAGCATATTAATCCATTGATGAAGTCAGAACTCCCATCCCATGATCCATCACTTCCAAATAAATATATCAGTTTGCAACCAGTCCTTTAACATATGAGATTTGGGAGACATTTCAAATTCAAACCATAACCTACATTCCAAGTCACTGCAGCAGTCTTTTAAGGTACCAGGGCATCATTATCCCCAGAATGGCCCTTTATCTGTCTGAATTTCTATAGCATTACCTTTTTCTGGATCTTAATAACTTATTCCCCTCACTGCCTCAGAGTTGTCAGTAGGTACTCATCCCATTCCACTTGTTGACCCAGTTCAATGATTCCTGCATACAATTCTTGATTTGTGTAACTAAAGGAAATATGGGGTATGAGGATTAAATCCAGTGTCTTGATCATGCTAAGAACAAGTTCTACCGTTAAGTTAACCTCCCATCCCCACATAATTAAACATTTGCTCCTTAAAAATATTTAAGCTATGGTAATAAATGTTCATGTTTAATTTTTCTGTATGCATACTTGTGTGGGTGCTTATACTAGTACACATGTGTGTAGGTGCATGTATGTGCACATGCATGTGGAGGTTGAAGACCACCTTAGGTGTTCTTCAGGTGCTGTCTACCCTGTTTTTGAGATAGAGTCTCATGACCTGGAGGTCACTGAGTATATTTGGGTAATTGCCCAATGAACTCCAGGGATCCACCCATCTCTACATCCCCAGCTCTGAGATTCCAAGCATTTACCACCAAGTCTGGCTGTTTCTTTATATGGGTTTTGGAGATTGAACTCAAGTCTTCATGCTTGCAATGCAGGTGCTTTCCTGACTGTGTCATCTCCTCAGCCCTAAATGCTCGTGTGTAAGATACCAGACTGTATTAAATATAAAAGAAGGATCAACAATCTCTTAACTCTCTTTTCCGTGCTCCAGTGCTGAATCCACAGCATTCATATTCATTTATTTAACTCTCTCTTCTAGTAATGACCTCCACATATCAAAATTATTTATTTTTCTAAATTCATCAATTCAAACCATTATCTACCAACTTGCTCTCATGACAGAGATGAGATTAACTCTCCTACATTGTCTCTCCCTGTTTTTTTCTATCCTTTCAACACAGTTAATTTTGATTGAATCATTTATAGACATCTGTTGGTATCACAAGAGATTTGTTTCCAGGATTCTCCAAGGATAACAGGCTCTGGAGATGCTCAAGTGCCTTGTATAAAAGCATAGTATTTACATGCATCTCACTTTAAATTACCTATAGATTATTTGCAATATCTAATACACCATAAATACTGTGGAAATGATTGTTATCCTGTGTTGTAGAAATAATGACAAGAAAAAAATCCATACATGTTTAGTACAGATGTATTTTTCCTACTATTTTGATCCAGTGTTGGTTGAATCCATGCATACACAATCCACTACTATAGAAGGCTGACTGTGTGTTTATTTTATGATTGTTGTTTATTATGTGTTGCAGAGCAAATATTCCATTGCAATATTTCCCTTCTTACAAACTCTTTCCATTGATGATCCTGCCTTTTGACTGACTCTCCTGTTTTTCCTTCCTCACTTCTTCCTTTCCTTCCTTCTTGTATTCTTTCTTGCTATCCCCAGTTGCTTCTAATTGCTTATCTTACAAGCCAACTTCCATCTTGTATCTCTAAGGTTTTTAAAGTATATAGTACTTGAACTATAGCACTCCCCTCTATTTCATTCTGTTCTCCTCTTCTAGAATTGACCTTTAAGCCTGTTGCTCATTCTGGAACTTCACTGCTTTTTGGATCTTAATTTGCTGCCTTATTTTACTGCAAAATATCCTTAAGTGACTTTTTAAGAAAAGGTGTTTTAGTCAACCATTTCTGAAAGCGAGTTCTCTGAATGTTTTTATTCTTTTCTTTTCGTTTCTCTTTATTTTATTTTATCTTTACATTTATTTATTTATTTATTTATTTATTTATTGTTCTTTAAATTCGATCATTCGTGTGTGAAATTTTTACTTAAAAAGGAGTTTTTCCTAAATTTTTGAAGAAATTCATTAATGTTTCTATCTTCTGTTCTGATAGTTGTATGATTGTTTTGGAGACAAGGTCTCCTTGTATTCTCAGCTGAAACTTGCTATGTAGGCCAGGCTGGGCTCAAT